TCTCCTACAGAAGCACTAATGTGGAGAACCCTAAAGATCAAGTGTACCCTCCACAACAAGGCAAACCTTTTGTTCCTTACAACAAAGGGTTAACACAAAATAGTGGGTACCAAGGGCAGAGACAAGGCAACTTCCAAGGTCAGCAACAGCAAGGAAACAAGATACTCTCTTGTGTTTCCTCCTGGTTTCATGCCTTAACAACAAGAAGCTCAACCGCCACCTCAAGATCCGGTTCAAGCAATGTTTCAACAAATACTTCAGGGACAAGCAACTACAAATCAGAAGTATGTTGATATGAACAATAGGCTGCACTCTTCTCTTACTGAGGTGTCTACTCAGATCACTAACATCAACAACAAGATACGCCAGCTAGAGAAAGGTAAAGCTAGTTCAAGCGGTCAAGATAGCTTACCCGGGAAATGTGAGCAAAACCCCAAGGAGTATGCTAATGCTATTACCTTGAGAAGTGGGAAAGAGCTACCGCCGAGGTCTGTACCTGAAGACAATGAGGACATTTTGGTTCAAGAGGGGGGGGGGGGGGGGGGGGGATGATCAAGAGATCACTTTTGACAATGGCTGGATTCCAAGACCTAAGAAAGGCAAAGAAGCGGTTGTAGAGAAGAAAGTGGAGGAGGTTAGCAAGGAAAAAGAAGCTTATGTGCCTCCACCTTACGTACCAAAGCTTCCTTTCCCTGGACGCTTCAAGAAGCAACTGATCGAGAAGCATAAGGCTATGTTTGAGAAGCAAATAAGGAATGTTGAGTTTAAGCTGCCTTTGGTTGATTGTTTTGCAATGATGCCAAAGTATGCAAATTTTTTGAAGGATACCCTTGCTAAGAAGGATAAAGAGAGTGAAGAAGTCTTGGTATTGAGTCAAGAATGCAGTGCGATCATCCACAAGGAGATAGCACCAAAGAAGCTAGGAGATTCGCGGTCATTCATTATCCCTTGTGCACTAGGTCCTTTGAAGTTTGAGAACTGCTTATGTGATCTTGGTGCAAGCATTAACCTTATGCCTCACTCCATTGCCAAGAAGCTAGGTTTCACCAAGTTTAAATAGTGTAAGAATCTCTCTCATTCTGGCTGATAGAAGTATAAGGCTCCCTGTACGCTTGCTTGAAGATTTACCCGTGAGGATAAGCAATGTGAATGTGTCAACAGATTTTCTGGTGCTAGAAATGGATGAAGAACCAAAGGACCCTCTTATCCTTGGTAGACCGTTTCTAGCAACTGCTGGAGCCATCATAGGCGTCAAGAACGGCAAGATCTATCTGCACTTGGGTAAAGATATCAAGCTGAACTTTGACATCAATGAAGTCTTGAAGAAGCCAACCATTGAAGGACAAGCATTCTACATTGAGACTTTGGATGCATTGGCTGATGAGTTGCTTGAGGAGTTAGAACAAGAGGATCACCTTCAGCTGGCTTTGACAAAGGAGTGTGGGGAGTATGGTTTCTTGAGCGAGCAAACCAATGAGTATGTACACATCCTTGATTCTCGCAAGGTTGTGAAAGAAGAAAAAGGCGAGTGCCTAGAGATCGACCCAGAGATTGATCAGATTAATCGATCCAGAAAGAAGATCGATGAGAAGATCGAGAGAGACAGCTCGATCAGTTCATAGAACGACTCAGCGAATCGATCTCCTGCTCGATCCACATCAAATCGAGTAAGTGAATCGAGGGAGTGCAATCGATCGAGCCTAGAACGAGGAAGCAATCGACTCGTTGACTCGATCTCAGAGGTGGGAACGGTTCAAGATGGCAGCCTGAAGGCTCATGACTCGGGTTCAAAAGAGGCTATAGAGGACAGCAACGTCAACACATGCTACGAGGAGGACTGGAGCGAGCTGCTCCCGAATGGGCTAAGGTATGCTTTCTTGGGATCCAATGACACTTATCCAGTCATTGTGAATGAAAATCTGAGTGATGATGAGTTAAACTCACTCCTTAAGGAGTTGAGGAAGTATAGAAAGGCCATTGGGTACTCTCTAAGTGACATCAAATGTCTTTCACCAATGCTTTGTACTCACAGGATTCACTTAGAGAATGAAAACACTTATTCTATTGAACATCCAAGACGTTTGAAGCCAAACTTAAAGAAGTAGTGAAGAAAGAGATATTAAAACTTTTAGAGGCTGACGTGATATACCATATCAGTGATAGCACATGGGTCTCTCCGGTCAATGTGGTACCAAAGAAAGGGGGTATCACGGTCATAAAGAATAAAAAAGATGAGTTAATTCCTACAAGAACCATAACCGGATATATAATGTGTATTGATTAGAGGAAACTTAACTCAGCCACTAGAAAAGATCATTTTCCTATTCCCTTTATTGATCAAATGCTTGAAAGATTATATAATCACCCATTTACTGCCTTCTTGATGGCTATAGTGGTTTCTTTCAAATTCCCATTCATCCTAATGACCAAGAGAAGACAACTTTCACATGCCTTTATGGTACTTTTGCTTATCGAAGGATGCCTTTTGGTTATGTAATGCACCAGCAACCTTTCAAAGGTGCATGGTGTCTATCTTCTCTGATCTCATAGAGGAAATGGTGGAAGTTTTTATGGAGGATATTTCTGCGTATGGTGCTTCCTTTAGTGGTTGTTTGTCTAATCTTTGCAGGGTTCTCAAGAGATGCGAGGAGACAAACTTGGTGCTGAAGTGGGAAAAGTGTCACGTCATGGTGAAGGAAGACATTGTACTTGGGCACAAGATTTCTGAGCAAGGGATTGAGGTTGATAAAGCAAAGATAGAGGTCATGATGAGCCTAGAGCCGCCGGTTAATGTGAAGGGGATAAGGTGTTTCTTGGGTCACGCAAGCTCCGGATTGGGACCTGCCGTTTGAGATAATGTGCGATGCGAGTGACTACACCATGGGAGCTGTTTTGGGTCAGAGGAAGGATAAGAGGCTGCACGTGATCTACTATGCAAGTCATACCTTGGATGACACGCAAGTGAAGTATGCAACCACCGAGAAGGAGCTACTAGCCGTTGTCTTTGCTTTTGAGATGTTTAGATCATACTTGGTGGGTTCTAAGGTCATTGTTTACACTGATCACGCCGCCTTGAGGTACATATACTCCAAGAAAGACACCAAGTCGAGGCTCTTGAGATGGATCTTTCTTATACAAGAGTATGATATGGAGATCAAGGATAAGAAGGGGATTGAGAATTGTGTAGCGGATCATCTCTCAAGGATGAGAGTGAATGAAGTCTTTCCTTTCGATGACTCACTCCCTGAAGAGCAGCTTATAATGGTCAACACAGTGGTATGTGCAAGGCTATATGAGAAGTTTGAAGATGTCTTGAGCTTGAAGGAAGAAGATTTACCTTGGTATGCGGACATGAGGGACATCTCTCACTACTTTTGGGATGACCCTTATCTCGACAAGAGGGGTGTGGACAGCTTGAACCGAAGGTGTGTATCAAGAGAAGAGGCAAAGGACATCCTTCTCCATTGCCATGGTTTATCTTATGGAGGGAACTTCGCTTCTTTCAAGACGGCTACAAAAGTTCTACAAGCCGGGTTTTTGTGGCCAACACTCTTCAAGGATGCTCATGAGTTTGTTAAGTCGTGTGAAGCATGTCAAAGAGCTGGGAACATCACAAAGAGGAATGAGATGCCGCATGTACCAATCTTTGAGGTGGATGTGTTTGATGCTTGGGGGATTGATTTCATGGGTCCAATCCCATCTTCTTAAGGCAACAAATATATCCTGGTGGCTGTAGACTATGTGTCTAAGTGGGTTGTGGCTATAGCTTCCCCAACTAACGATGCAAAGGTTGTGATCAAGCTCTTCAAGACTATCATCTTTCCAAGATTTGGGGTCCCAAAGGTAGTGATCAGCGATGGGGGCAGCCACTTCATCAACAAGGTCTTTGAAAATCTTTTGAAGAAATATGGGGTTAAGCACAAGGTAGGTACGCCCTATCACCCTCAAACCAGAGGCCAAGTGGAGGTGTCGAATAGGCAAATCAAGGCTATTCTAGAGAAGACCGCAGGGGTATCTAGAAAGGACTGGGCAAGTAAGCTTGATGAAGCTTTATGGGGGTATAGAACAGCTTTCAAAACTCCCATTGGTACTACTCCTTTCAACCTCCTTTACGGCAAGTCTTGTCACCTCCCTGTGGAGTTAGAGCACAGAGCCCTTTGGGCCGTGAAGCAAGTGAACTTCAATCTCAAGCCGGCGCAAGAGAAAAGGCTGGTGCAACTCCACGAACTTGATGAGCTAAGGTTGTATGCATATGAGAGTGCCAAGGTCTATAAGGAAAGGACCAAGGCGGTTCATGACAAGAAGCTGGTTCTAAAGAAGCTTAAGGAAGGCAGTCTGGTCTTACTCCAAAACTCGAGGCTGAAGCTGTTCCCTGGAAAGCTCAAATGATGGAGCGGACCTTTTGAGATAAGAGAAGTGCTACCGTATGGACACTAGTAAAAAACTCCCTATAGCTACGGAAAATTATGTGACAAAGGCGAAAAAACCGTGACTATATAGTTCTATAGCCACGAAAAGTTACGAAAAAAAATCGTGTCTATAGGATCATAACTAAATATGGCTCGTGGCTTTTCGTGGCTAAATAGTCACGAATTAGTCATTGTCGTTTCATGGCAATATTAGTCACGGTCTATTCACACAACGGTTTGTGTCTTTTTAACCACATCATGTTCATGACTATATCGTAACTAATATTGCAACGAAAATACAAGTGGCTAATATGTGACTAAGTAGCCACATTGTTTTTTGTGGTTAAAATTGTGGCTATATAACTAATTACCAATATTTGATTTTGGTAACTAATTATCAATATTTGTAATTCTAAAACCTTTATAATAGAATAACAAAAGCAATAAATCTAAAATTTGAAATATAAAACCAATATCATACATAAATATAAACTAAATATGTTTTGTCTTTAACAACATTCAAACAAGAGCACACTTATACTACATTCAACTTTAACAAGTTCATATTCTCCTAAATAAGCAGCACACCACTTATCTAATTGAGCTTGATTGTCTTTGGTTAGTGTAGGTGTGGAAGATTACCGGGATTGTGGTATTAGGAGGAACAAAAGCTGGAGGAGGAGAAGGTGTAAGCGCAGCAGAATGAGTCCGAGAGTCTACAAACTTTTCCAGGAATGCAAATAGTACAGCTCTTGTGGCCACTAGCTCCTCCTTCATCTCACCCTTCATCGCCACCACATTTCCCTTGAGTTCAGTCATGTCTGGCTTGAGAGTTTCGACATTGCTCTTGACAGCTTCAGAATTAGTCTCCAAACTGGACATACGCATGTCCGTATCAATGCTGCGATTAAGAGATGCATGGACTAACTCAGTAGGAATGAAATCTTTGTGCTGCACACTGCCTATTCCATATACTCGGCCTCGGCTTGTCTTACTTCGCTGCAAAAACAAAAAATATAACTAAGTTAATATGGCAACTCAAGTCCAAAACAATTCCTATATCACTAAGTAAACACAAATTTTGCTGTAAAAACAATTCCTAAATCACTAAGTAATCAAAATATCATAAACGCAGCAAGTCACTAAGTCACAAGACAAGGCCAAGGAGCAAGTCAATCAAAATATCATAAACGCAGCAAATATCATAAAAGCAGCAAAAGTCGACTGAAGTAAAACGATACAAAAGTAAATGGCAACAGGTAAATAAAACAACTAAAGTAAATGGCAGCAAGTCAATAAAACGATATGACTCAAGTAAATGGCAAGAAGTATACGATACAACTCAAGTAATATGGCTACAAGTAAACGATACAAGTCAAGTAAAATGGCAACAAGTCAAAACGATACAACTGTCAATAAAACAAGCCACTAGAAGAATGAGTGAGTACCTTGAGAAATTCTTGGTTAAGGAGAAGGCGAGAAGGAGTTGCAGCAGTTGAGGTGGTTTGGCTGACAGAATCAGTTTCCATCTGTGCTACGGCTTCCTCTACTTCAAGGACAAGAGACTCAGCTCGACCATCAATGAATCTTCCATCTCCTGTGTGTGTCTTTCGCACAAGCTCCGTGTAAGGTGGTGGTTCATCAGGACCAGACTCCACCATCTGGAAAACAGAAATATAAACATGAGTAGAAAATATGACATCATAAAGATTAAAAAAAAAGACAAAGAAAATCATTTACCATATCATACTTGATCTTCAAAAAACTTTGAGGACCTGCACAATGCTTGTGCATCCCTTTTCCATCCGGGTTTGTTGTGTGGTATTTAGCCGCATCCTTACTCTTCTTGATTGCCGGTTCAGTTGACCAATACTCCAGCAGAGTGGTCCAGTCAGCTTTACTTATGTACTTGGGCTTTTGGTTTTCTCTCTTTTTCTTGCTAATTTTGCCACAAATCGTAGTCTGTGTGTGCGCTTTCCATTTGTAGTAGACTTCATCATTAAACCGAGCCTCCCAGTAGTAGTTTTGCTACAATTGAAAAAAAAACATTAGTAGCTTTAAGTTAGTAACCAAAATATTTTCTTTCCATTCGTAATACAAGCGCTTACCACAAAAGGATGCCACCACTTATATTTCCTCTCATCAGGAATGAATTTCCAGCTCCTCCATTGTCCCATGTATTAAGCTTGCCAAGTTGTTTTGATAAAATTGTGAACAGAGGGGTCTATACCAAACCTGAGATAAGAGAGATTAGAATCAAGATACTATTCATTATCAGAAGAAAGAAGTTAACAAATGTTTACAGAGCAAGCACGTTGAGTTTGTAGATGACTTACCATAAAGCGCCATTGAGTTTCCTCGGATGGAGGTGTGGCTGAAGTTCACTGGAAGGAGCATTCATTAATGCTTCCAGAGTCATACGAGTGTGGTTATTAGGAGCTGAAGATGCAGCACTTGTTGCTCCTGGTGGCATGGCAGGACCAGATGAGCTTCTAGATCTCACAGCTCCTGGTGGGATGGCATGATCTACATTGCTCACACATTGATAACAATAACACGGTTGTTAGAAACTATTGGCAATAAGAAATCAAGTAAACGCACTTAAGAAAAAAACGTATACAAGACTCGATACATCATGAATGATAACACTAAGAAGATCCAAGACTCGAAACACTTAAAAACTGTTAAATGCTAGCGCCCGATACATCATGAATGATAACAATAAGAAGATCCAAGATTCAAAGCACTTATGATCTCAGCAAACAAGTAAATCCTATTACTCGATACATCAAGAATGATAACACTAAGAAGACTCGAAGCACTTAAAAACTGTTAATGGAAAAAACAAACAAAGAGAACAACTCAAATCATTGAAAGATTATGCTAAGTAGAATTTTCTTGGATATGCACGAGAAATCAAAATCGCGAGTTAACACATTTCAAGCATTAATCATTCACAGGATTGTAAAATCAAAATTGATATTTACCAAAACCTAAATGGGAGAAATGCTTCAGACTGAAAATAGAGAAGTTACAAACTGAGAAACTAGTCAAATCCATTATTCAAAGACTAACAATTAGCATAAATAATCATCTCAAGCAGCAAATCCAAAACAATGAATAATTTTCTAACAAAGAAGACCCAATCGAAACCCTAATTGTAAATCCAACACAGTATTGAGAAGATTAGCCATGCAAGAGAAAAAAAGGAAAGGAAGAAGCGACAAATATATACCCTGACTGTTGTCGGCGGTGACTGAGTTTCCACGGTTATGGCCAGGAGCCATCAGGATTCTGGATTGAGAGAACGAGAGGAAGAGAGAAATGGAACCGACGATGAGAAGAAGAGAGGAAGAAAGAAGTAGAACCAAGAGGAAGAGAGAAAGAGAGACGACAGCGATGGTAGAAGAGGTCGAGACCGCCAACGGCGAGAGGAAGAGAGTAAGAGAGGAAGAGAGAAAGTTAGAAATTTGGCTAAGTGTTCATAGGATAAAAAGAATAGATAGAGCATAGAAACCGAGAAACCAAATAATGTGTGGGAAAACCAAAATTAATTTGTTGGAAAACCAAAATTTGTGTGGAACCAAAAAATTGGGTTCTAAAACCCAAATCAATTGGTTTCACTAAATTGAACCAATAAATTAATTGATTCTTTAACTAAATTGAACCAAATTAATTGATGGTTTAAGGTTAATTTTAGAATTTAAAATTTAAGATTTAAGATTTTAATTAAGTTTATAATTTTCATATTATGGTTTGAGTTTAATTAGGATATATAGAGTTTGATTTTAGGGTTTAGGGTTTTAGGTTTAGGGTTTTATTTTAGAGTTTATGATTTAATATTTATGTTTAAAAATTGAAAGTTAAGATTTAAATTTTATAATTCTCAGATTATGGTATGAGTTTAGGATATGTAGGGTTTGATTTTAGGATTTAGGGTTTGATTTTAGGGTATATGGTTTCATTTTAGAGTTATGATTTAATATTTATATTTATAAATTAGAAGTTTAAGAACTGAAGTTTAATTTTCAGACTATGGTTTGAGTTTAAGATATATAGGGTTTAAGTTTAGGATATATAGGATTTGAGTTTAGGATATATAGGGTTTGGTTTTAGGGATTAGGGTTTGGTTTTAGGGTATATGGTTTGATTTTAGAGTTTATGATTTAATATTTTTGTTTATAAATTGGAAGTTTAAGAATTGAAGTTTAATTTTCAGATTATGGTTTGAGTTTAAGATAAATAGGTTTAAGTTTAGGATACATAAGATTTAAATTTAGGATATATAGGGCGTGATTTTATGGTTTAGGATTTGATTTTAATTAGGATTTATGGTTTAATTTTATAGTTTATGATTTAACATAGATCTATTTATAATATTTTAAAAATTAAATTTACAAATAAAATGTAACAAAATTTTAATATAGCACCTTTTGTGATTTTATCATGACTAATTTTGTAAGCAAATGTCACATTTTTTCTTTTTTCTATTTCTGTAACTATTTCATAGCTTATACGTTGCTATTTTTTATAAGCCACGAAATAGATGTGATTAAAATGTGGCTATTTTTGCCACATCATTTTCATAACAAATACGTGACTAATTTTGTCACGAAAAAGTCACAGACAGTCACAGTTTATGGTTTCGTGACTATTTCATAACTCTTATGTGACTATGTTAAAAAAAAACCACAACATAAACGTAACAATTTCGTGGCTATATGCATTTTTTTTACTAGTTGGAGCGGTTACATTGGTTGGCAAGAGTGGAAAGGCTTTCACAGTGAATGGGCATAGAGTCAAGCCCTACTTGGCGAGTGATTGCAGCAAGGAGAGCACCACGTTGCTTCTCCAAGACCCACCTCTAGCCTAAATCAAGTAAAGTCAAGCTAGTGACGTAAAACAAGCGCACGTGGGAGGCATTCCTATGTCTATCTTTGTTCGTATTTCTGCTTTATTTTTGTTTCAATTTTATGCTCTTTAGTTTAAGTGTGTAGGTGAAAGGATAAGGGAACCGGAGATCATGATCTTGGAGTCAAAAAGGGCAAGGAAAGGAGAAGTGGAGGCAAGAGATCGAGTGATAGATCGACCTACCCTGGCTCGATCCTTACTAGATCGAGCTAGTGAATCGAGTGAAGTCACTCGATCTAGATGAGATCGAGTAGACAATCGAGTGAGCCAGTCGATCATTAGAGGATGACCCACCCATACGTTTAGCTCGAAATGCAAACGGGGTGTGGATCGACTGGTCTCACTCGATCCTAGAGTTAGATCGATCAGTTCACTCGATCAGTCACTCGATCCTTCCCCAAATGACCTCGAACTCAATCAAGGGACTCGATCTTCTGAGCACGGCTAATACCACGTGAAATCTTGGAACGAGGGGGACAACTCGATCTAGGACTCGATTCAATTCAAATCGAGTCGCCAATCAATCATACCTCTCGATCCTAGGCAACATGGGCATGAGATCGAGGTCAAGATCGACCAAATGGACTCGATCTCATACCGAGGTAAGTTCAAATTTTTCCCTCCTCTCTCTTTTCCCTCCTATTTCAAATTTGAATTGTGGTCAAGGCAAGCATCTTTGACCATGAAAGATGTGCCTTTACCACACTTTTTCAGAAACCACTTGCATTTGCCCATAGTTTTCTTGGTCTTTAAAATCACATGCATCCACACTCTCTCTCATTTGTGTTTCGAAACTGTTTTTTAAAGTAAAGAGAGAGTGTGAGTTCGGTTTTAAGGCTAAGAGCATCTTGCATTCATCCTTTTCAAAGGTATTTACGGGTTTATTGATTGCTTGTTTAAAGTTTTAGAAAATTTCCTTTTATTGGCTTAGGATGAATGATAGTTGCAAAGGGATTAGGATAATTTTTTTTAGTATCTAAATATTACGGAAAATTGCTTGATTTGATCTTATCTAAAGATATTTTCCTCTACTATTTAGTAATGAATTTTATAAAATCCCCAAAAATCTAGGATTTATGTTAAGAGTTTTTTCTCTATTGCCTTCTCTTTCTTTAAACCGCCGCCTATACTCATTCTCCTCTTTGAGAACTTGTATTTCAGGCGCTATGGCACACAAAAGAAGCAGAGATGTGGCAACACAAGGAGAAGAAACTCAAGAAGTGGTTCAGGAGAGGGTTAGATGGACTAAAGAGGAGAAGAAGGCTAACAAAAGGCTAGAGAGGCTCCGGTTTGAACCCACTAAGTTTGCAAGCCGAGACCTCTTGGGGGAAGATGGGGTTGATTCCTTGGCAACACTGATTCCTTGGCAACACTGATTCCTTGGGTCCGAAGCCAGCTCTAGGGTTCTATGCCTACTTGTTCACCAACATTGATAATGAGAAGAAGGTCTGCATCCTACCAAATCCTGATGAGACACACCTAGAGAGCGTCGGCACGATTGAGTTCCTACCGGGCGATGAAGACTGCTTTGCACCTCTTTGACCAGCAGCAGCTCCACCTCAAATCCCTCGTGCACCTTCAGAGTCGCCACCTTCAGATGCCGTGATGCCAGCGAGCTTTCATATTCCAAACCTCGATCATGAGCGGAGAACAAAAGCCGAGATGTTTTGATGTTACTGCATATTGCATGTATTTTGCATACATATAAGTTAGCTTTTCATGCATTTACATCATACTTTAGGCTAGATTGCATCACTTTAGGTCCTAGAGCACTCTTGCACCAGCATACGCATGTTCCTTGCATTTTGCATCATATTCAGGTTGTTTCTGGCTACTTTGGAGTCGTGGAGGTTCGTGGACGTACTGAGGCTAGCGTGGAGATTCGTGGGAATGTCGGATGTTTGCTAAGGACCAGAGATCGGGAGCAGATCGAGCATGGCCGGTCGATCTTGGAGAGATCGACCGGCCATGCTCGATCTTGGAGAGATCGACCAAGGAGATCGACCAGAAGATCGAGTAGTCCTTCCGATCCAAGGAATCTGATCGAGACGGAGATAGAGTGAAGCAATCGATCAGGTAGTACGGAAAATGACGCCATGCAGAGCGAGAGCCAGATCGAGTCCACCACTCGATCCTCCAAAAGATCGATACAAGGATCGGATGCAACACTTGATCCACCGAAGACGATCGAGACACAGATCGAGTTGAAGACACGATGTCCGAAAATGATCGAGAAGCATGCTCGATCCCGAGGTCGATCTCAGTCCTTTCAACCATTTTTGGCCTCTAGCGAGGGGGGACCATCGAGCTGTTTGGCCCATTTTGGGAAGGCGGCGATGATCTTTTCCCACACACTTTTTCATTCTTATCTTTTGATGCTTTTTCTCTCTGGTTTGGAGACGATACGCCATTGTTAGACTTTGAGCTATGTTCTTGAATATTTCGAATCGTTTAAGCTTAATCCATCGTTTTTCATGTTTATCATTACATTCTTCATGCTTTACTTAGTTTACTTAATGTGTAGTGAGTAGTTTCATTTGGGTTTCGGGGTCTAAAAGGTTTTCAAGTTTGTTGTTTTCTCGTTCTTAAGATGTTGAGTTCCTAAGGCTTAAA